TTACAGGCGTGAGTCTCTTTTTTTTTTTTTGGGGATGGAGTTTTGCTCTTGTTGCCTAGGCTGGAGTGCAATGGCACGATATTGGCTCACTGCAACCTCCACCTCCCAGATTCAAGCGATTCTCCTGCCTCAGCGTCCCGAGTAGCTGGGACTCCAGGCATGCACCACCATGCCCGGCTAACTTTTTTGTATTTTTAGTAGAGATGGGGTTTTGCCATGTTGGTCAGGCTGGTCTTGAACTCCTGACCTCTGGTGATCCATCCACCTCAGCCTCCCAAAGTGCTGAGATTATAGGCATGAGCCACCGCACCCAGCCTCCATCTCCCCTTCTAAAATATGATACTGAAGCATAATCCCAAATAATCCTTCCTCCATCTCTAAATCCTAGGCACCTGATGGCCATTTTTAATGGCATTAAACTTTAAGCTGCTGGTATATAACTTAAAATACTTTTTAAATGACGAGAAATAAAACAAAAACATCCTGGAGTACAGCAATAAATGTTAGTGTTGATTTTACTGCTGTGAGAAATCTCTTTCCAGAACAACAAGTAGTTCCATAATTTGGTGTGTGGGGCGGGGCGGGGAGGGAAGGGGAGATCAAAGAGAAGAAATTGCACCACTAATCTAACTCTGTAAAGCAATTGTTTAGCTGCTGTGCCAGCAACTTCACAAAAGTTAGAGGTAGTTATAGCTGGGAAAGGAATGCTTTAGCAGCCAAACTAATCTTTTTTAGGTTTTTGTCTTTTATTATCATGCAGCAGTTTCCTCCACAGTGTAAATACCCTGTGCTTTGCTTTATCACAAACACTGCTCACTGGTTCCTTTCCCAGAAAACACTTATTGATGAGATTACCTAAAGCAACACAGTTTCAAAAACTGAGCTACAAAAAGGATAGTGGGATAGCTTCAGCAAGGATAAACACTTCAAAATTCAGTGGCAGCTAAGACCCCCAAAAGCAGACAGCTGGTTAAGACAGACTAGTGTAATGTCAAACGTATAGGTCTAAGATCCGACTTTGTCACTTTGTGGCCCTAAGAAACTACCACATTGGGGCCTCTATCTTCTCACTTACGAGATTAAGGCCTGAATTAGGCATTTGGCTCTAAAAGTTTACAGTTTTATGGTCACACTGACACTAATAATCAAAAGTTTCAATAAAGATATGCCGGTCGGGCCCAGTGGCTCATGCCTGTAATCGCAGCACTTTGGGAGGCTGAGGTGGGTGATCACTTGACGTCAGGAGTTTGAGATCAGACTGCCCAATATGGCGAAACCCCTTCTATACTAAAAATACAAAAATTAGCTGGGTGTGGTGGCATGCACCTGTAGTCCCAGCTACTCAGGAGGCTGAGGCAG